AGCTGTTTCTAGAACGCGTCTTTGAATCGCGTTTTCCGTTGGAATCGGCGAGAATCGAGCTTCGTGCGTTTCCTCGTTCAAGAAGTTCGAGGATGGAGACGCGGCCCCGAATATGCACGCGCGTGCATTAACACGCTGTAACGAGATGGGCGCGAGATGGGAGCGTTCACGGGGAGTCCGTCAATGGAATTTATGATCTGAATATCAGAGAGGCATGGCCGCCGCGGAACGTGACGAGTCGCGACTAGTCGATTTTTCGGCGCGGTGGCGAAGCGGAGGAGATGAGGTCGGCGGCTATTCGCGATGTAAATTTCAACCTCGGAGAAGACGGCGATGGCGGCGACGGCGGAGGCGGCGGAGAAGGAAGGGAGCGAGGGGGTAAAAGGGGTGGGGGGAGAAGAACGAGCGGGGGCGACGGCGGGAGCTTCATACGTCAAGCGCGCGCGCGCCGCCATTCACGACCTTGACCACATTTCTTCTCTTCGGGAGAACTCGTCGACCGATTACCACTCGTCGCCGGGCGTGACTCCTCTCTCATAGTGCCGGTTCAAAATTCTCACGATCGACGGGATAAGTCGGGAACGTTAGATCAGGATTATATCAAGATGAGTCGGGAGAGAAATCTCGACGCGAAATATATATAAGAGTTGTATGCGATATCTATTTAATATATAATTTTTCCTCTTCGAGATTACACACAGATTCTTTTAAGGAGAAATATGTTTTTTCTCCTATACACACATTTTCCGTTAGAAATTTTATTCAGGTCTCTCTAAACTGGTTATTCGTAAAGCGCCGCTACTATTATCAGTTCACTGTTTTATAAATGGATTTCTCGATGAATAAACAGAAAATAGTGTAACAGTTTTGATGGGAAAACTTAGTTTTTTTTTTTTTTCAATGACTCTCGACGCGAGCATTTTATATCAAATTATACGATATATGTCGTTTAAAATTTCAAACGAATGCGAGAGTGATGTAGTAGAGTTGTAGCTTCGACTAATATTGTCGCCGACAATCTAGCGATTAACGGACGCGTTCAGCCTCCTAACGTCTTGTCACGCATAGTTAACTTCCATTTGGCTGATGATTTTTGCGCGCGTCACATGTGTAGAGAAGCATTTCGATAGAGAAAAGTCAAAGTATAAAAGTCTCTTTCCAAAAACGCGGTTTAGTCACAGAATTCTCGATTCGTTCTTGCTTTTGCAAGAACATCTGTTCTACAGATTTCTTCTAAAAATTCACGGTAATAAAAAGCAAGACATTCCAAAGCGGACCCATTGCACAGATTTAAATTAATAGGATTTTTTCAAGCATAGCATGTATATATAAAATAACGAAATCTCTTTCAGGTATACAAGTAGTTTTTCAGTATTGTTGAAGAGAAAGAGAGAGAGATATTGCTTCCTGAGGAGCAATTGTTAAAAATTTATAGAAAGAAAATGCTTCTCTCTCGGCGGGTGCCAGTATTTATGCTCTTTCCGGAAAGAACTGTTTTTTTATCGCTTTCGCTAATCCTCACGCTAATGCGTGCTTGGTTTTGGCGGGAAGACGCCAGTCTCGTAATCGGAGCGATCGAGACGACGCGCGCCATTATCAGTGACTTATCGCACACAGACGCGACCTTGTCGCATCAAAATTGGCGCCATTTTATCGATACGTGCCTCCGTCTCACCACGTGGATAATTTTTCCGCGCCAGTTGAGCAGACAGAACTCTCGTTCCGCAACTTGGGGAAAAATAACGAAATACTTCTCACAAGGGACACCGACTTGATCCAGAAGCCAAGTTAAAGCCAAAATATATATATATATATAAAGAATCTGAATTTTCTAAAAAATTTGTATATAATCTTATAAGGAAATTATTTTGTGTTACTTTGTCATCCTTGATTCACCGGATGTTCTCAATTAATCATTGTTTTATTTCGAATTAATCATGTTTAATTTGTGATGACGTTTCTAACGACTTTTGAGACAATGTTATCACTGATAATTGTAACAATTCAATTTTACCGGTAGGCTTCAAAACGAGAAAAGATATTATCACATTTTTTGTCGATATACTGGACCTCCCCGAAAAACACACGGTAAGATTAGAAGGAATTTGTGCAAAAGGCCGCTCCTTTTTTCGATGGAAATC